AACAGAAGTCTGGATCCGACCCAGAGTTCATAACAAGGTAGTACAGATCCAATTCTTCGTTTTCTTTGTCGCCAACCTGAGAGGCCTATCCCCTTCTGTTGGGGGTAGACAACCCAGGTCCACGAGGAAGGTTCTTTGCCGCGAACGAAGGACACGTGGCCATTTCTGTTGCGGACACCTGTTCTTCGTCCCCGGGGTTGGTTGAGGGGATGCGGACCGCGTTTGTTAGCACGGTCCGCCTAGGATGTTCCATTAAAGACATGGGCAACGAGGTCGGCGGCGGAGTCGTTAGTACACCAGTAGCCAGCTAAACCGTCGTTGTTCCTCTTCAGGGAGAGGCAGCACGTTGAAAACGCGAATTTCGGCGAAGGTCTTGGCTCTGGCTTGGTCGGCCATGTTTTGGCTACTCCAAGTGGGAGTTCCCAGATAATGCTCGTTGTCGATATCCGGTTCTTAGATATCGCTGTATTGCATGTGGCCAAGTCGTACGGCTTTTTTCAGTATCTTCGGTTGATGGGTCGTATTCTGGATGTTTATCCAGGCCGTGTCTATCTGATGTCGGATTTTAATCCTGGCTTCGATTGGCCGGACAGGTCGGATTTTTTGCCTTAGGGTGACAAAGTGAACATACCTCCTAGCGTTCATCGGTTTGGCCGTCCGTACCTTAATAGAATACGTCGAGTATGGTGGGAGTGATACTCGCTCGCTGTTAAAGACCACTTGCCGGTCTAACGGCTTAGAGTCGATGAATGGGTCTAGCTTCAGATGGTAAACTTCTGGGCTTTTGTTGTCCAGGTTTAATTCTTCGATCGTCTTGACTTTTGCAATCCGTGCCTTCCATGGGTTGAACTGCACTGACTCCTGTTGGTCAGTCAAGTTAACCGAGGTCGGTTTTTCGGTTGACAACTGCTGAAAAACCGTCGTCGGAGGTTGGAGATCGTCTTCCTCCGTTTTACTCCTCCCGATTCTCTTAGGATTTTCGACGGTTCGAGTTCGGCTTGTTGCTTGGGGTCGGCCGGCTTTTCCTGTTCGGTTAGTTCCGGTAAATCCTCGACTATGAGTTCTGTGTGAACTATAGACCACAATGCTGTAGTTAGCCAGACGTCGAAGGTCGGTTCTTCATCCTCCGATGACGATTCTTTCGAGTCGTCTTTTCTTGGTTTGTCCGTCTCGCAGTGTCGGACTGACGGATCGAATTCTTCGTCGTCGTCTTCTTCCTCGGATTCCTCCAAAGGTCGGTTATCGGAGTCTGTGTCCGCCGAATCGCTCGTGCTTTGTGTGTCCGAGCCGTCCGACTCATAGTCCTCAAACTCTACGGCCATTTCATCTTCATGTTCGACCTGAGGTGTATTACCGTTTTCGACCTGTGTGGTCGGTTGACGTTGGTTGGCCGAAATCCGTCGGTTGGGTCGGTCGACTCGCTCCGTCCTGATTTTCGAGGTCGGTTGGCTGTGAGCCTATGTTGTTCAGCCATCGGATGACTGTCGGTTGAGTCTTCCGAAAGCGGTCTACCTTCCGGTGCGGTTGCAGGGGTAACGGTGACGACGGTCTGCTGTCCGACCAAATTAGGTCGTGATGCGTTTTGATCGCTCGTATCATTCCGTCGTCTGCATTGTCGCAGAGAATCGTCAACCGAACCGGCAGGATAAAGCAACCGGTAGAGCGCTTTACTTTCCATCTTTTACTCCGTTAAAATTAGAGGATCGGAGTACGAGGACACACTAAGTATACGTGAGAGACAACAAATTAAGCGAGTATAAGTGATAACCATGCCCGGCTTATGCAACGCGGGCAACCACCCAGGTTTGCAGTTACTTGTAAGCGCATAAAAAATGACTGACTGAAAATTATGCAAACTTTCAACGCTGATTTCTCGTGTACTCTGGAATGTGACTATTCAAGCAATATACCAGAAGACGCAGAAAAAAATAACACGATTTTTGATACCAAATAAGTGAGAATATACGCTGATTCAAAAAGACTACAGATATTTTCATTTTCTCGTAGACTTAGCATAGAATCAACGGTCAAGGGTTCCCCACACAGAATCCTATGCTATGTCTACGAGAAACTCAAAAAGGCTATCTATTGTCTTAATCGCTATAAACTGCAACTTGTTGGGTATCAAAAATCTTGTAGATTTTTTCTGCATCGTTTGCTATATTGGTCAAATTGTTTCGTTCCATAGTACACGAGGAATGAGAGCTGGAAGTCAGCATAGGCGTCTATGAAGACGAGCTGTTTAATACGCAGTACTTGGACCGCCAACCCTTGGTGGCTGGGTGTGCTGCACAACACGTGATTGGTTATCATTTATTCTCGCTGGTTTTTTGGTCTATCACGTATACTTAGTGTGTCCTCGTACACAAACTCAGCGCAGACAGAATCATTATGACCTTTCGACGTTGTCGCAATTACCAATTGGACTGTGTACCTCTAGTCGTCTATAGGGAGGGGTATCTAGACGGGTGCGTCTGTTATAATGCAAGGGGTAAATCAACTTATAACTTTGTACAATTCCCTTGCCGTGCACTCTTTATGTCGACTTCGTGTCACTTGCTATTATTTTTTATTATATCCAGCGTGGAGCAGGTATCCGATTTTCGGTTAGGGTGACATTAGCGTGAGGTTTTAAACCGGGCCAAACAGTAGTTGCACAGAAATACAGACAGAAAAAAAGAGTGTCTAATCAAAATTGACACTGTTAAAGTCATGCTTATAAGCGCCAGTAATACGAGTATCGAACAAATCAGAAAAATTAAGATAAATAAAAATTTCCACAATATATTAAGCTTCCAGGCAAAGGTTGTCCGTTGTTCCGTCAATATTTTTCTTCTGTCCCCTTGATTATGGTGCGGTTTCCTTTTCTGAGGTTGTAAGGTGTTCGGATTCCACCATCACGGTGATGCAGTGCGCTACATGGAATCTTTCTGGATGTTTGATCTCGTACAAGCATATTGCTTCTTTTTGCTTCCATCTCGTGGAACAATTTTCAAATTTAGAAATGGGCGATTTCAAATTTTTGCTTGATTTTAAATTATCAACAACTGCGGCCGCGCTGTTTAAAACTGTTAATGAAAAAATAAACTGTTTATGACCAAATGGAAGGAGTAGAAAGTATCAACTGCTCGACCATAAACCTGCAAGTTTAAAAGGAAATAAATGCTTATAGTTTTTGCCTGACTTAAAACGAAGTAGTGTAGCGGATGCCTATAGAAGTGGTGTAGTGTATGTCTACTGTCTAAAGAAGTAGACAGCGAAAAAAAACCTGTGTTGGTGTATAGCGGAAGACACTGCGTTTACACTTTCCTCGCTGTATAGTTAAAGATTTAGCAGTCGCTCCCTCTCATACTCAGAATTCCTAACCCATGGTGTGCAGTCCAGTGTACGACAGTCCAGCTTAGTCGCAAATTGGACTACGTCACATTCTTACATTACATAGAAGACTGGGTTTGAGAACGCGCGGCAGCTTACTTGATTCAACAGTTTTAAAGCCTTTGGGAATCGTTTTTATTACGTCAAAGCATCAAACAAGGTGCCGAGCTGCACATATTTCAGTTGTTGTCCGCATGACAGTGTCCCATGGCCCATCCCTTATTGTCTCCAACAAAGGCACCCAGACAAACGACAGCGTGCTAGATCGCCTCCTCTAAATGACATGCATATTCATATTGCCGCGAATTAGCTGCGAGATATTCTGACAACGACCATAATGCGGCAAAATACAAAAAAGCTAATGCAACACATACTGGGGCAAAATAGCAGAAGGCTATTTTAGCCGCCCATACTGGGGCAAAATAGCTAAAGGCTATTTGAACTCAGTGTGGGGCAAAATAGCAAAAAGCTATTTTGCCTCGCATACTGGGGCAAAATAGCCAAAAGCTATTTTGCCACAAAGACTGGGGTAAAATAGCCACTTCGCAATAATTTTCAAAAGCAAATTAAAGAAACGAAAACAGGAAAAATAATAGAATAAGAATAAAACATATTCAACAACAAAATAAGTAACTACAAAAACGGAAACCAAAAATCCAAAATAAACCAATTAAATGTCTCAGAGAAGTCAATCAACAATCGGATTCATACAGAAAAACGGCAACAAATAAGTAAACAAATAAATAATAAATAAAATAAGAATTTAGAAAAAGAAAACGATGTAAAATTGCTCAGCTGTTTTGCCGACTGCGATTTGACCACAGCTGAGACATCGAGCACTTTGTGCTTCATTCTGCTTACTTCGAGTACGAGTTGCGCTATTCGGGAGAAGCCCTCTTTATTTTGCGAGGCAGCGATTCATTTGCTTAGTCGGACCGTGGCAGCGAATCCTGTTGGCGATCGAAGCAGGTGCAAAGTGGTAATGTTAGTGGCCACTCAACACGTCATTACGCTAATGGAGGCAGGATACAGTGGTGATAATTGGCGGTGTCATGCACGCAATTCCTGTTATCGGTTTCCCCCAGGCTCGAGGGTAATATTCTTACAGTACCACGAACGGGTGCCCTTTATTTAGTCTCAGTCGGCAAATTCCGTCCGGATAATAATTATAAATTACTCATGAATCAGTGGCCAATTAATTCTTTAAGAGCAGTATTAAGGTATCTGAGCGATGCACTGGAGTAGGAAGTTGTGCAGTCTTACCGCGAGATATTAGTTCTTACCATCCCCATTTCCAGCAACCGTCGCTTCGGTTCTACTGCGTGGCAGCGTGCACCAACATGCACTCCAGCTTCCTCTACGGTTTCCATGTAGAACCAAATACGCTGTGCATGTGCAATGCACCTGACATCAGTAAATACACGGCGCACCTTGGGACATCACGGAACGAAAGACCTAAACGGCGGTAGTACGAACTACGCGAACGTTTCTCATTCTAATACCACTAGAAACGCTAGCCTAGACGATCCCTGCCTCCATTATGGTAACTGGAGCGACCCGCAAACGGCTATCGAAATCGCCTCCATGTCGGCAGTTATCATAATCAGCGCCGCCGGCCTCGTCAGCTCTTCCGCACCACATCCGTCAGTGCCTCATTTAAACCGTACATCGCCAACCTTCTCCTGGCCAACTTATTTCTAGCTATTTTTGAAAATCCCCTGGACATTTTATTGGAGCTCTCCTGCCAACACTGCACGCTGTCGTGGGCGGTCTGTGACCTTTATCTCTACTGCAATTACGTCATCACGGCGTGGGCGATACACGCCCACCTCCTCATCACCGTCAACCGCCTCTGGGCGCTGATTTTTCCTTACAGTTATCGTGACCAACACACCATTAGCACCAGCTTCCTCTTTATAGGCGGCGCTCTTGTATACGTCCACATTTGGAGCGTTCCAGGCCTCGTTCTGGATTCCGTGTTTTACCGCAGCATGAATGACGAATGCGAGGTGAACAACGACGCCCAACGAACGTGGGCATTAGCGCTGCAGATCTGCTTGTTTCTGGCTCCTATCGTCTTCGTGGCGGGAGCCTATATGTACATTATCGACCGGCAGCGTATGCGGTGGAAGACGCGTCCCGGAACAAGGGAAGCCTTCTGTCGCAGAAGCCAACGGACGGGAAAAGCGGCGATCCTCCTGCAGCACACAAGAACACCCGTCAGCACATCAATCAGGCCTTCCTCATCCTCACCCTATTGACCTGCAGTGTAGTGATCACGTGGACGCCCTACCAGATCTGCCAGTTGTTGCAGATCCTGGACATTCCGGTGAGCATCCACATCGTGGCTGCATTGGATGTTCTATGGATCGTCCAGTCAATCTTGGATCCACTGCTCTCAACTCGCGTTGTCGCGGACATGCGGACTGTATTTGGACTGTCCGGGCTGAAATAGTACTCCGACCAAAGTGTCCGGGCTGAAATAGTACTCCGACCAAAGTGTCCGGGCTGAAATAGTACTCCGACCAAAGTGTCCGGGCTGAAATAGTACTCCGACCAAAGTGTCAGGGCTGAAGTAGTACTCCGACCAAAGTGTCAGGGCTGAAGTAGTAATCCGACCAAAGTGTCCGGGCTGAAGTAGTACCCCGACCAAAGTGTCCGGGCTGAAATAGTACCCCGACCAAAGTGTCCGGGATGAAATAGTACTCCGACCAAAGTGTCTGGGCAGAAGTAGTACTCCGTCCAAAGTGTCCGGGCTGAAGTAGTACTCTGACCAAAGTGTCCGGGCTGAAATAGTACTCCGTCCAAAGTGTCCGGGCTGAAATTGTACTCCGACCAAAGTGTCCGGGCTGAAATAGTACTCCGACCAAAGTGTCCGGGCTGAAATAGTACTCCGACCACAGTGTCCGGGCTGAAATAGTACTCCGACCAAAGTGTCCGGGCTGAAGTAGTACTCCGTCCAAAGTGTCCGGGCTGAAATAGTACTCCGACCAAAGTGTCCGGGCTGAAGTAGTACTCCGTCCAAAGTGTCCGGGCTGAAATAGTACCCCGACCAAAGTGTCCGGGCTGAAGTAGTACTCCGACCAAAGTGTCCGGGCTGAAATAGTACTCCGTCCAAAGTGTCCGGGCTGAAGTAGTACTCCGACCAAAGTGTCCGGGCTGAAATAGTACCCCGACCAAAGTGTCCGGGCTGAAGTAGTACTCTGACCAAAGTGTCCGGGCTGAAATAGTACTCCGACCAAAGTGTCCGGGCTGAAGTAGTATTCCGTCCAATGTGTCCGGGCTGAAGTAGTACTCTGTCCAAAGTGTCCGGGCTGATATAGTACTCCGACCAAAGTGTCTGGGCTGAAGTAGTACTCCGTCCAGAGTGTCCGGGCTGAAATAGTACTCCGTCCAAAGTGTCCGGGCTCAAATTGTACTCCGACCAAAGTGTCAGGGCTGAAGTAGTACTCCGTCCAAAGTGTCCGGGCTGAAATTGTACTCCGACCAAAGTGTCCGGGCTGAAGTAGTATTCCGTCCAAAGTGTCCGGGCTGAAATAGTACCCCGACCAAAGTGTCCGGGCTGAAGTAGTACTCCGACCAACGTGTCCGGGCTGAAATAGTACTCCGTCCAAAGTGTCCGGGCTGAAATAGTACTCCGACCAAAGTGTCTGGGCTGAAGTAGTACTCCGTCCAAAGTGTCCGGGCTGAAATTGTACTCCGACCAAAGTGTCCGGGTTGAAAAGGCTCTCAGGAGCTTCAGGTCCCACCCAGAACGCAAAAAAAGTTGGGTGGGCAAAATTTACGGCGGACGTTTTTTTGGCCCCCGGACGGTTTGGTCGGTTTAACGACCAAAACGTCCGCCGGACGTCTTGGTCGTCCGGACGTTTTGGTCGGTTACAGACGACTACGCGGTATACCATGTGATTTGACGTGGGGAGGAGGAGGTATCTACATCATGCGGATGCCCGATGATGTCCGCCTTCACCTGTAAACACAAACCTCCATGAGTCCATGTTATTATCTAGTCATCTCTTTACCTGTGGTTGGCTGTACCCTAAATCCCTAGCGAATAGCGATGTATGCCGTGTACTTTTGCTAGTCTATATCAGCTTGAGTGATACCTAATATCGAAAGCGGTCAGGAATTAGTCTCACATTTCTGAATTCTGATCTTCTGACTTTTCTGACTTCCAAGTGTTGAGGAATACGTTGTGAATTGGATAAAAGGGCAGTATCTTCTAAAGGTGATCTTGATGTTCAGGATTCGCGTCTGATCTTACCATAGGATTACCGCAGTATACTCGCGTCACAATTGACCTTCGCCTTGATCTGATCCACGTATAAACCGAGAACGGAAGTGAGAGTTAAGGCATTCGTTCGTCTGTTCGTGTATTTTGCAGGGCTCCTGATAGGGATTCCTGGTTCCCGTGTTCCTGTTCGTTCCTCCATCGTTCCTCCTAGTTGTTTTCGCCACACCAGTTTGAGAGAGAAGAGTGCTCATACCGCTACGCATGGGAGGGAAGTGTTGTAAGCACCGTCCAAAGCTTGTAATACGACACATTTCTATTTCGAGAAACGGGTAACATATGATTTAAAAAACGGTTAATCGAAAAAATTTCACAGGAGGTAACTGTGCCGGTACATGGTACCAAAATCGTGTGCTTGTACAAAAAAGGTTCGCTTTCGCGCACTCCCGAACACTTTTTGCATTGTTTTGTGACATTCTATAATTAAGTTATTTGTACATGTATGTTGGCGGGAAAACCGCTTGGCGCTTGTCCGCGTAACATCCGGTTGGGGACTTATCGGTGAAATAAAATTAAAAAATGCATAAACGCACGGAGGTATACCAAAAGTCTGATTACGAACCGATATTCTTCCAATTTTGCATGAAAACACAAATTACCATGAAGGTTGCTTTTAAACCGAAATAGATTTCCGCCATGCTTTGCAAAATTTTAAATAAGTTTCAAGAATTTGCGAAAATAATTTACAATTTGGAAAAAAAGGTGGAAAGCTGATCCGGTGTAAACACGATCTTCGTGATAATGCACGTTTATATGCAAAATTCGAAGAGGATCGGTTCGTAATGAGACTTTCGGTAAACCCCCGTACGTTCAAACTTTTGGAATTTTATTTTACCGATAACTCCCCAACCGGATGTTGCGCGTACAAACGGTTTTCACACCAATGTATACAAATCATTCGATTAAAGAACGTCATAAAACAAGGCAAAAAAGTGCTCGGAGCGCACAAAACGAAAGTTTTTGCACATGTACTTGAATATTGATGCCATATACGGGCACACTTCCCTTACAATTAATGATGCCGCTCCTTCCATGTAATTATTTATTACGGTTGCCATGTATTTCTCGTGCCGCCGAACAATAATTAACCCGCATAAACAAGACCGGCGAATACAGTTGTCTCAGGTAAAGCGTATTTGTTACGAACCATTCGTCACGTTTAGCGTAATTTGCACGGTATTTTGCAGGCCGAGTTTTAATCTGTATTGCACGTAAAAGCCACAAGTACTCGTACCAAAACAGAATTCATAATAGAAATTCTTGCATTCTATCTTGGTAAGGGATTGTGCCCATCGCACAAACTGCGGTGCATTCTGAGACCGGAGCGCAGCGTTCGCCGGAATACACTTACCACGTTCTAAAATCCATGAAGCTCAAATTTTTTGCAGAATCGTAGATGGTTGATGGTAAGTATGCTCAAAAGCGCTTTAATAAGCTGCTATGACCAGACATGAAGTCCCTTTGGGGTTGTCTGCTCTTGTGCCGTAATAATAATAATATCTGTCAGAGGGTGTTGTAAAAAAACTGGGGAAAGCAAAAACCTTTCCGCAATCATGGAATTTATCTATTAAAAAAGGACTGTTTAAAAATAGAAATAAAAATTTTTAATTTTTTAAGTAAGTGGCATCAGTCAGCGCTGGCTTATAACTGCCGAATAAGCGAAAAATTGTTATTCAGCAACAGACTATACGGGAGATAGCTACTAACGATAACTTTGAATTTATCATCCGCTTGCATCGTTAATGTATTGCCAGCACGCTCAGTGCGAATCCATATTCATAGACAAGAGTCTAAAATATGTACGAGGATAACAGTTACTAATTTATGCTTTACGCTACACCTACAGTCCAATACGCCGAAAGTTCCCAAACGATGGTTTCACCCAACGCCGCCACCGTCAGCGTGGTCAGTTGGCTGATTTCCACACCGGCAACTGTGTCCTCGGTCCACACCTGGCGATACTGCGTAGACGAGCGCGGATCCGCATGTTGGTATTCATTCAAAACCTATGTTCACCCAGAAAACACACGACCTTTAACGTCAGATTCGCAATCAAAGACCAATTATTAGTGCAATGTGTCTGTAGCACAATAGACATATAAATACTGCTCAAAATCTGAAGTACGAACTCGTATCTGTAATGTTGCGTACTTCTATCTCTCGGAAACCTCTTATACTTATACTGCTTCTGAATCTGACTTAGGTTTTGGTTCAACAGAACGTAACAGATTCAAAATCACAAAAGTAATATAAAGTCTGATCCAGTACAGAAGCAATAGCGTTTTCACGGAACGCATAGACGAGGGACACGGTAAGCGGCTGACCTGCACAATTTTCCCTGCGAAGAATCCACCTTGCTCCTGGGGTAAGCAGCCGGCAATCCATTTTGCCACAAACGGTCGACCCACGGGCTTTTTCACAACCAGCCGGTTCTCGAAGAGATCCCACAGCCGCGCCTTGATATGTACGTTGCTGCATCCAACGGCCAGCGCATGCTGGGTCACCCTGGCAGTCAGCTGACGAGCGGAGAGACGGCAGTTCTTCAGTACCAGTCGATCCGCAGTCGAACACACCTTGACCATGTTATCCATAAGATTCCCGAGAGAACCCCTAACACTGATCGTATTATCGCGTTCAACTAAATGCCAATCGCATAACACCAGCGTCGGGATGCGGCGGGAGAGGAGAACCGAGTTAATCAGTTGCACGAGATCCCGGCACTCCTGGATACCGGTTCCGTGCATCATTACCATCATCTTCGTGTGCTGGCTGAGGCACTGCAGCAGACAGGCCACCAGCCAATACGAGCCGTTCCCGGAAGCCCGCCACGGATCCCCTTCCGTTTTGTCCGTCTTGCGAGCGGATATGCGCACATCGAGAAAATGTGCTTCGGTGGTGAGCAGAGTGTTCCACAGTGAGCATGTTCGGCGACAGCGGATGCGGTCCATAGAGTCGAGTGACTGGAAGATCTCCACCAACAACTCAGTCGACAAGAACAGCTTCGGCGAGCGGCTGTTCTGAGTCCCTGACTTTTTGGCTGCTTCTCTCGCGATTTGACGGAGTGCCCATTGTGATGCTGTTGATCTGCAGCCGGCGTCGTGATCCATCTTGGCCGCAGCGTACACGTGTTCCTGCAGTACAACATCAGGATTTATAGACTTTAGCAAACATGGTGGATCATTTCGCATATACGTATGTGAGCGGAGAAGCGGCTCACGTGCAGCGATAAAGTCTTTCAAAGGATTTCAACGTATTGCGCCGTGGTGCAGTGGTACTGCCTACGCGGATCTAACGACGTAGCCGGGGTTCGATTCCCCCATCGGCGCCTTTTTCAGCCGTTTCTCGGTTTCCCTCGGATTGCGCCCCGTTTAGACGTAGAAATTGCCCGGGAAATGATGCCACCTTTATATGTGTAGTGTAGTGGCTACGCGCCATATTAGTAGTGTAGTGGCTACGCGCCATATTAGCGCGTACGTAGCAACCCGCATGGCTGTGTTGACCTGTAGAGGACGCATTTATGTGGTACTACGAGTATTTCATTATTCACTATCTATCCGGCCAGAGTGGCACAAGAAACATCTGTGCCAAGACGTGACAATTGGCGTGAAGGATGAGATAGTGTAGTGTAGTGGCTACGCGCCATATTAGCGCGTAGCAACCCGCATGGCTGTGTTGACCTGTAGAGGACGCATTTATGTGGTACTACGAGTATTTCATTATTCACTATCTATCCGGCCAGAGTGGCACAAGAAACATCTGTGCCAAGACGTGACAATATGCATTTTCGTACACCAAAATTTAAGGTTATTATCCGATCTTCTGCAAGCTTTGCTATAAACGGCAGTTGACTATGAGGACGAAGGTGTATCAAACCAGTTTCATTATAATGCCACGAAAAATTAATCAGATTTTTAACAAGAAAATTTGAAGAAATTACAAATTTCCAGTGAAATATTTCGGTGTAAGTGGTATTGCGGGGCTATTTCAATACAATATTATATTCGTATTTTTTTGCGCTTAAGCGAGGTACAAGTATATAAATACAATCTTCCTTTCAACACACCAATAAATCTGCGTACCAGATGCCCCGCCTGCATTGGACGACATCGGCCCCGCTGCACAAAGAGGAGTGTCGCCCTACACACCGCCGTACACACCACAGAGGAGTCTTCGTGTAATTTGTGCTTGAAGATCTCCCTAAGCAGGGTCCCGCCTAACCAGTATCCGGCGGGCAGCGGACTCGAACGGACAACAAAGTCTCCTTTGGACACACGCCATTCCTTTAAATCAGCGTCCAAGGGCGGCAGACGCAGCTGCTGCCGGGAAATCAGTTCTCTGAAAGTGCCGTCAGATAGTTCCACGTCCATCAATGCCGGCGTTTCATGTTCGTAGTATCGAACGGAGGCGACCGTTCCCTGGTGCCATCGCCAGGCGCTATCGGGAGAGCGGCGAAGCAGCACCTGTACGCTAGTTTGCGGGGGATTCCAGGGATGGTAGTAGTCGAAGATGTATCCGTATTCGACAAACTGCGCTCGCTGTGTGGCACATTGGAAGTCGATGATCAGGCCGCCTTCCGCCACGTCGATGACCTTGCCGCGTTGCAGATGGCCGTCGACGCGGACGTCCACCGTGTTCCACTCGGATCCGCCCTGCCAGTGCCCTCGGTACGCGAATATTTCCTCTGGCTTAAGCTCCCAGACCGCCATTACTGTCTGAAAGTACTGGAAAAAGAATTATGTTTTGGTGGCTTCGCAATACGTAAATCGGGAACCAACAGGGTGCAAAACTAAAAACAATTACAACGGCACAGATCAGAAATGCAGATAACAACCAGAAATTACTGTAGTTGCAGTATTAATTACAAAGTACGATGATTCGCACCAATCAACATTAACCAGTAAGTACTCCTCGTAGAAGGTGTCTGCATAGCGCTGCAGCAGGCAAATTAAATCCGAGTCGTTTTCGAAACAACTAGCCGAATAAAGCAATCGCAAAGTGTGCTTTTAGCCAAGCTCGACCTAGAAAATCGTCCGAACGAGATCCGGCAGGTCGCTGGAGGCCAGAACAGCAAGCGCAGTAAGTACAATCTAACACAGAGTGTCACAGATACTTTCGGAAAGTATACAGTGTGTGTATTAAAATACATTGTTCCTGCTCGAGTCCTAGGGAAGGCGCCATTCCTCTGTTTCACTTTCTCGCCTTGTCTACTTCATTGTGTTACGTTTGATGCTCAGGCTTTGTGGCTGCCCCGTCCTATCTACGATCAGATCGCCAACTCTATACATACGAGCTTACGAGGACATTTGGGTGCTGTGAACATACCCTGCTCGATTAGGCTGCGATGAACAGCTGGTTAGCCGTAGCTCGCAACGCTACTGATATCACAATCTGAATGCAAACGGCTATAAATTTAGCCGGCTGTTCATCGCAGCCTAATCGTGCAGGCCTAATCGTAAGCCTAATGTTCACAGCACCCAAATGTCCTCGTACTGAAATTCAGTATGTCCTGGCCCTTCTGGATGTCATTCAGCATACTTCGCTTACTGCTTTATATGGGCTCCCCTTATATTACTCTCCCTTATCTGGGCTCCCGGGCAATATGAGCAACCCTCTATATCGGCGGTTACGTTACTACTCACAGTTTTGCAGCTGTTATCAGTGTTATGACTGAATGAAAATTTAGATTTATTTAAAATACTTAATCGCCAGTACTTTTGTAGCATTGAGTTTACTTTAATTTAATTAAGATATATATAGATATTAAGATATAATTAAAATATATATAGATATTATAATTATATAAATATAATTCGGATGTGAAATTTTGGAATTCTTTGGTGTGCTCACTTGTAAATCCGGTTGAAAGAAGTAGAAAAGGGTTCTGCTATAAATCCGATAAATAATTTGACGGGTATTGCTCACTAGCCGGGAGCCCAGATAAGGGAGAGTAGTGTAAGGGGAGCCCATATAAGGCAGTAAGCGAAGTATACAGTATACATGTCTGAGTTTTGGTCGGCTAGGAAAACGTGATATTTGATACTGTTTGATAGAATCTCTTTCAGTGTTTTAACTTTTAACAGCCATCGAGGCCATCCATAACATTTAGCAAAACAATCATTTTGACACTCTAGACTTGATTTACGTTTCTTATGAAGTCAACTGCCGTAACGGACAAACATTAGCCACTAAATTAATCTCGCAGTTTAGCGGATCTTCTCTCCCTATTGCCTGATGCGTCACGCTGATAATTGTCAGAATGTACGGGGCTCCGTTTCATTATTGGACGAATTCGGTATGCCTTGACTCGGTTCCACCCGCGCTGAGTTCTTCTTCCTTTTGTCCACCAGTTTTCTCCAGACTTTGTACAGCTGCTGGCGATAATCCGGGCGCAGAACAAAGTAAATTATCTGCAAATGCAGACACACTGTAACATTACACGAATCACTGGACAAGAAAACCAAGGTTACACCTACCGGTATCGAAGCCACTCCACAGAGACTGACCACCCGCAGTGTCAGCTGCAGAAACGGATGGACAACAAATTGGAACATGGCGAACATGGACATGACAGGGCCGGGCAACGTGCAGCTGCTATACGACACCAGCGCCACGAAGAAGACATACATACTACGATAGCGTTGCTGCTGTCTTCTCCGGTTCTTCTGTGTATCGCGCCGCCATTGACGGCGCGCAATCACCAGAAAGATGCAGATGTAGCAAAGAAACGACAGAAGAAGCGGCACCACGAAAGAGACCATCGTATACGCACCGGACCACAGATACGTTCGGTACAGCATACTACAGGAACGCCACGCCCCCGCCCGCATGGACGTACCCGCCCACTGACCCATTTGCATAACGACCAAGATCACCGCCACAACCGGAGACAGAAAGGTCATGGTGAAGCGGATCCCGTTGGTGGTGGCGCGTGTGTAAATGTGCGGATGGCAGATGGCGATGAAACGGTTGACGCTGATCATCAGATCCGCCCAGTCCACCCACGTGGTCAGTCCCACGAAGAACCCAACGGCCACGGTGCAGAAACGGTCACTGACGGGTTGACTGATTGGGCTGCCTTCGTACGATAGGGCGATGAAGGGGATCCCCATGGCACAGTGGCCCGTGGCGGCCGCCAACAGACTGACCAAGAGTGGTGAGGACTTTGAGCGCTGTTGCGACGTGAGGATGCAGATGATTAGGAGTACGCCGAAGACTGTACCGGCAGTGCTGGATGAGATAATTAAAGCGCTCCAGATTCGGAGATCAGTTTGATAGTGCTGCCAGATAGGCGTCGAGTTGGCTGATACATTACTGGTGCCGTTTAAAAGTGCCATCTACTGAAATGCTAATTTGCCAACGATTGCGCAAAGGTCACTTGCTATTTGCGAATACCAATATTATAGTTGCGTCTGTTTGTAACACTACAAAAACACTGTGTAACACTCATAAGAATCATTAACGGAACACATAATCCAATGCGATTTGTTCGTGGCGCTTCATCAAAAAAGATAAATGTAACAAGATTGATGTGCGTGGAGAAGAAATAACATTCTAATAATTCAGTCAAAGATTATTGCCAACAACGCGCATGCGTGCATAATAAGACCCTAAAATTTTAATGTGCATATGTAAGTGGAAGTAGTGCATTAATGTGGGATCGCATATCCAGCTGGAAAATCTGGGTGGGTTTTCTTTATCCTCCCATTATTCGGCTTAATGGATTATTGCATAATATAAGCCTTCAGGTAATCTTTTAAAACAACTTCTCCAGCTGTTCCAAGCTTGGACTCCGTTTCCATCGGTGATCCTGGGTGGGTGGTGCTCCGGGTGCTAGTGGATAAAGCAGAGAGACAGCTCATTCCTGGAATGCGTCGTAGGAACGAAAGGCCGTACCGGAAGTCCTACAAAAATTAAAGCTTTTCAGTACGCGGTTAGGGGTGACTGCCGCCTGCTGACATTTAGCACTAATACAGACTCTGTATGTGCAAGTCCTTCTTAAAGGAGATTATTATGCCGTGTGGATACTGGAAACGGTTGTACTGCTTGCCTATTTTACTGTATATTCCTTTTTTCCTCGCCTATATATATATTCGGGAAAACAGCAGACGAGTGCTGCTCGTGCAAATACAATAAAGCAAGCAATCAGAAATAACGAGTATATCTGTATAAGCGCTTTACTGCTGAAATATTACTGCTGAAACGGTTGGAGTCCTTTCTGAAATAATTTAAAAGGAAATGAATGTGAAATAAATAAGCAGCTCATTACGCTTTAGTGACTTTTCTATAGTTCCGAATAGCCGAAAACCATGATGGCGCACTATATCAGCATTACCAACAATTAACAAAGGAGCGGTAGGCGAATACAAATCGAACAAGATTTATTGCTAAAAATAGGCAGATTTACACAGGACGCAATCAAGCACAAAGTTCCCCTTAATCCGCCAGTGTCGCTTGTCGAAAACGCACTGGGACATCCATTTCGACATGACTGGGCAACTGAAGGGTTTCTTCACAACCCGTTGCCAGTCGGCTCTCGAAGGGATCCCACAAACATAAGTACCTTGATCGGTTTGCTGTACCTAGCCTAACGTCGAGTGCATGCTGGAACAAAGCTGTTATGGCGTGGCGAGCGGAGATGCAGCATTTTTGCAGCACCACTTGGTCGGCCGTCGTTGGTCATCTCGTCCAAGAGATTTCCGACCGGACCGATGCCATCTGTTTCAGCATCGCATAAGGACCGGTACGGTCATATGCTGTTTGAAAAACATCAACATCGATATGCGGTGGCAGGTAAGAATTAAGCTAATTAGCGTCGCATTATGCTGTATGCTGGCAGAAGTCGTTAATAATAATAATGGAGTTTATTGTCCTTGCACGGAGCAGGTGTCCCCTCTAGGCTTCAGACAGACACAGTCAAAAATAAACAATAAACATGTAGTGTTCAGCTTTTCGACAACAATAAAAGCATATTTAACAAAGGTTACATCAAGAGACATGCATAACAGATGAAAGTAAAGCAGCGATTCGCATATCAAGACCACAAAAACCATTGCTGGGATACCTTCAGGATATCTTAGATAACTAAATAGACGACAAATTATGTGAAGATCGTGTAGCAAAATTAGCAACAGAATATCAGTAGACCCATTCTCGTACAAACACATTAGACGGCCAGATTTTTGGATTCAAAATCTTTTCAGATGCATCCTTGAATGTTCCAACACGGGCACAGGTCGACGTTCGTTTGTCCCCAGTAGGAGGGACAAATACGCTTACAAATCTTGTAGCAATTCCGGCTTCTTTTAACTGGTTGGATATGAAAGCGTTGTACTCTTTGATGTTCGAAAACTGCGAACTTCCCAAGCGAGGAATTCCTCTGACACAAAAATCTGCGTGAGGCTAATGGTTACACTGCAATGTACGTACCAGTTCATTTTGAGGTTCTGCATTATCTGCCACGGTAGTCATCTCTCCACGTATCGTTTTTGGCTGGCGTTTCGTAATGGCTGCATAGGCAGAGGCTTTACCAGCTGGTTGGATGGAAAAATCATCAGACGTTAATTTTAACCCGTTCGTCGTGGACGGGTTCGGTAATTCGGCATTGCACAGGTTCAGTCGCGGCGCCTCTGTTCTTCGAGGTTTCCAACGTTTTCCCGTTTCGGCAAGTTGTTTAGCTTCCTTAGCAGTAGTCCCAAAATGGTTTGCAGCGATCTCCTCAACCTCGGGGTCGGTACCCACTACGTCATCTTCGACGGTATGATAATGAACGTTGCATTCTACAAGGCACACTCTTTCACACAAATTCTCCATTGCGTTGTTGAAATCATCGACATTTTCCTGGGATAACAATGGCGCAGAGGGAACCAAAAGATTTTCAGCCGAAGAAACGTTAGACACCACAGGTTTCTCAGATGTGGATGAAGAGCTCTGCAGTTGGTCTGTTAGGTTCTTGTTGTGTAAAGGCAGACGCCGTACTTCAACTTCCAAGTCACTGAAATACTCCAAGACTTTCCTAAATTCTGGCATAAAGCTTTTCCAAGTCGTTGGAGAATCAAAATCGAAACAAAAACTTGGCGGCTTCATGATAGTGCAAAAATATTCAAAATATTCAAATATCGATGTTATTGATAGTCTGCATATTTCTAACTTACCGGTGTGATGCATCATAACCACCGTCTGGGGGATCGCGTGAGACATTTCAGCAGACCGGCCACGAACCAGTACGTTCCGCGCAGCGTAAGACGCTGATCGGATATGCTTCCGCTGAGCCGACCCGGCAGCAGTGCAGCTCCTTAGATACCAGCCATGTCAAAGCCGCTTGACCACAACATAACCTGTGATACGGCTTTTGTCAACTGTCATAAACGGGCGCGGCTGCGGTTTTTCACTGGATGAACACGAACTGCACATTTAGCTGTAAATGCCGGACCTTGCTTTCTTTTAAATAATCGAACAAGTAAACAGGCCCCAGATGCGTTTCTCAATATAAAAGATTATAATGTACTTACTTATCTGACCATGGATGCCACTGCTGGCATCCCGCGTGACGATAATTTCCGGTAAGCGCATACGTTGCGGCAGCGGAACAGCTTTAGGACAGGTACCAAGTGCACTTGTACCCGGTGGGACCTAGCCGGTAGGTATATGGATCATCTGAAATGACCGCGTCATGGGGTACTAATTCTGGCACCCTACTCTCCAAATTCCGAATGGCAGCAAGGACGTTGCATCTTTCGACAGTTTCAGCGCTGCTCTTTATTAGTACTTCTCCTTGAAAGGCTGAAAGGTTATGCGAGTTGAGATGTTTTATTTAAGAGCACCGTTTTAATATCACACACAAAACGCATAGCCACTGCATATACCTAATACAAAAATAAATCCCGAATCCTAAATGGTTAAATATATTTGTTTAGTGAAAACATGGAAAGAACTTCTTCCAATAACAGACAATAAATTTCTGCAACACATCAAAACTCAAACAGACGTACACCGGATCCAGAATTGCCTGCATGCCAAACAACACCGCTATGACATCGCGGAACACGTACAGTTTCGATAAGGGAATAAGGAAAATGATCTTATAGTAGATGACACTCGGTAGCCAGCAGATAGCGACGCTGATACTGAACAGTGTCAAGACGACAAATGATCGAGAGCGAACCAACATTCTGCGTGGACCATCAAGAACAGTCACGTTTTTTTCATGTCCGTCCACAGGTGCTCCGTGAGGATTGTTCACGATCTGTGCTGCTCGTCCGGCAGCCAAGAATTTTCTTCTCTGCAGCCTTTTCCATAGCAGAACGGGATACGCCACGGGAATCACCATTTGCGGCACATCGTATACAAGAATATTAGTTGCACTCAGTACCCCGACACCCGCTTGTGTGGGAAGGTTTAACCAGCAACCTTTGTGCATGACAGCGCTATAATGCACAGCGTCGATGGTAATGACCGGTAAGAGCAGCACGTGGACGTAAAGCACCACGCCCATACACAACAATCCGGCAATCTTCCGATTATGCCGCTCCTTATACGACAACGGGAAAAACAGCGCCCATGCCCGGGTGACGGTGATGAGGAGATGCGTGTGGATGACGACACCGGCGACGATAAACAGACAGTAGATATGTACAACGCAGCTGCTGACCCACCAGGACGGGTGTGACGTGGATACTACCAGGGCAGCGGCGTCCAGGGCGGCGAAGAGGAGATTGGTCGAAAGTAGCACCACGATGTAGACGTTAAACGCCGTGTGGAGGGATTTTTCGTGGAGAAGTATTATAAGGACCGCGGTGTTGGTGATCAGCGTGGCGATGGTGGGTGCGATAACGGAAGTCAGTAAAGAGTCGTACGTATTGACCGGGGTCGATGCGTTAACGCGCGAAGATGACGAATTCCCAAGAGTGTTGGAGCAGGATTCGTTGAAAACGATCATATTGGGAAATGCTGGATACTGCGAAAATAAAATATACTTCCACAGAACTTCAGCAAAACTGTTCCGCTATCAAGTTAAACCGTATTGGGTTCGGTGGCGCTTCTTACTGCAAGCGAGGCATCAAGTCCTAAAGGGTATCGGCTTTATAACATCAGGTGGGATACTGAATAACATCACGGATTTCTCTTCCACTGAAGCCACAGTAAAGTGGGTAGCTACTTTAAAGCCAAAGTAGCGGTGTAATTACCTTTGAGAAGCTAGCGACAGCCAGATGGCCGGATAAATTCGCGTACTGCGATCGAGGCATCAAGTCCTCAAGTTTTCCAGCGGCTTTGTAATAACAGACAGCATCCTGCTTAAAATCACGGATTTCTCTTTCATTGAAGCCTCAGTTAAGTGCGTAGCTGCTGCACTTTGTACCGTAGGAAGTGCCGATGTAACTGCTTTTAAGAAGCTGTTAGTCCGTTGACCGGATAAATAATTCAAGAAATCTGTTTTGTCGGAAACAACAAACGAGTAACGAAAACAAGAAGACCATCGACAGCACCTGAGCCAATATATCTGTTCTGGAAGCTATCTTCGTGTGCCTAATTTGGGTAGCAGGTGTTCGGGAAGATAAAGGTAAAACGGTATCTCTGGAGAGCGCGAAACGGTTACGCTTGCCAGCTGCGAGCGCCGAAGAGCGTGCTAATGAGGTTAATTAGCTACCGAGTAAACTCATCCCGCAGTACGTATTGAAATGCAGAAAAGAAAGTAGCTTAATTCTTTGACACAGCTGTGCGGCTACAGGCGGGCTACTGAAGAGGCAGTACTGGACTACTGGGAAGGTGGAACAAAACAACAACGCAAGGTGGTGCAGCAGTGGCGCTAGGAAGATACACTGAATGCATTTGAAGCCTGAAAGGATTCTGTACGTCCTGCGTACACGTTTCTACCGCCCATCTGTTTCTCTCAGAAGTTACTTTAGTAATTATTCAACTCCGAACCACACAGAAGTTAAGCTAAATCTACGCATCGTGTAACAAACAACAATGTATTTCTGTTGCCTTCGCATTAATAAGGCATTTACAAAAGCTCGCTACCTCCTTTTGATTGGCTATCAGATAAACGAACTCTTGCACGTTTGCTTGTCCTTTTACCTGCTCGCTTCTCGAAAGCTCCTGGGTTCCGGTCCCAGATATACTCTGTAAACCGGGTAGCTCATAAAGAAATATGCGTCACCGCAATTGTGCTGGCCTTGCTTGTGCTTGCACTGCTTATGCTTGTAGCTGTTCGCGTCGGGATTTCATTTGCGTCCGCAATAGCGCTTGCTTGATTGCTTGCTTGAGGGTTTGGGTGATGACCTTTCGGCCCGTCTGATTGGATTGCCGCATTCTGTTAGCTTATTGTGCTTATTTTGGTCAGAGCCTCAGCCCGACTGGCAGAAGCTTTCTGCCCATGGTTTAGCTTTGACTGAATAAACCAACCCCCCCCCCGCATGTGTCGCATTATTATATACTTACCGACTGCATCGATAAAATAATATAAAGTGAAAGAGGAAAAAACTGTGCAACACGTTCCAGTCTGCAGTCTTTTATTCTTCCTGCTTTCAAGTGTCGTACTTGGATTAGCCATCCTCCCGATATGAACGGTGATTACGATTTACCGCTTCCTCCCTATCCACCATGCGCGCAAATTTTTATGCACAATTTGTTGATACTATCATCGGATCGTTCCAGCGCCCATTCAATGAGCGCAAGGTTAGTTAAGCATTTGAATCATAGTTTGGTCTTTATCAGCTTGCTTGCAGCCTTGCTTAACGTGTGTTGTCAGCTTTTGTCCTGGCAGGTTCTGATTGAGGTTTTTTCCTGCTATACGAAAGGTCAATGCAATTAGTAAAGCATACGATCAGAAAAACCGCCTAGTCCAGGAAAACAGCATTATCGCTCATCTAGCACATCGCTATATATTAAAAAATTGCGTTATCCCTATCAAATCCGTGCCACTGACGTGGGAAGGAGGATGTACCCACATCGTACGTCCAGATGCCTCTAAGATGTCCGCCTTTCACCTGTAAATACGAGCCGCCATGTTATTATCTAGTCATCTCTCTACCTGTGATTGGTCGTACGATAAATCCCTAGCGATATATGCCGTGTACTTCTACTAGTCTATATAAGCTCGAGTGATGCCTAATATCGGAAGCGGTCAGGAATCAGTCTCTCGATTTCTGACATTCTTACTTCTCTGACTTCTATGTGTCGAGGAAATACTTGTGAATTAGATTAAAGGGCAGTATGTTCTAAAGGCTACGACTGGCGTTCATAATCGACCTTTCGGATTATAGCGTAGTCAGCCGCAGTATGCTCGCGTCACAATTGACTTTCACCTTGATCTGATCCTTGAATTACCCGAGACCAGAAGTGAGAAGTAAGGTATTCGTTTGTCTGTTCGTGTGGTTCGCAGGGCTCCTGATAGGGATTCCTGGTTCCTGTGTTCCGGTTCGTATCTTCATCGTTCCTCCAAGTTGTTTTCGCCATACCAGTTTGAGAGAGAAGAGTGCTCATACCGCTTAGCGTGGCTGGGAAGTGGTTACTCGACGTACCGATCTTGTAATACGACACCACTGCCAATATTGCACCTGAAACAATTAATTGCGCAGTTATGCAGAATAAGGAAAACCGTGAATACAGTTGTATCCGCGGTCATGTCTATTCTGCGCAACTGGAAATACATGGCATTTTCCATAGTCGTTGCCGAGGGTTAGTCGCAAAATGAGCTCGGCAACCTTTGCAAACGCTGCATGTCTGCCATGAAAGAGCTTCTTGTTTGCACAGCTACTGTTACGAATGGGAAATGATCGATTTGCCATCACTTGCGTTTCTAACTCGGTACGAGTGTGATATATCGTTTCCTGCGGTTTCTGTTAACAAACGGTTGTTAGTCAAAGTGCGGTGGAAGAGTTGGATAAGCAGAATATTCCACTCGCAGAACGTGCACGCTTTTCGATCGATGCTCTTTTCTTTCGTGTGTGATTTCCAAAAGATTTTTCGTCTGTTTCACCATGCCCAAACGAACTCTTCGCTATTACTTACATAAAGGTGACGCCTGGGCGTACAGTGAAATCCTTACGGAAGCCCTGGTTGTTTTGTGGTTCGCCAGTCAAATTGCTCTGAAATTCGGGATGCGTTCGTTTCCGGACTGGAGGGGGAATCGGGTGGATGCCAACGCTGCGCTAGCATTGGACAAAATTCACGAATTCTTCGGATGTGTGAGTTTATTTTCAGTAAAAGCGTTATTCTAGTAGAGGATCAGGTAGGTAGTATTCTTCAGGCCTTCCACTGTTTTTACACTTTGCGTTGTTTCACTTGGTAATCTTTCCCGAATGATGCGATAAATGCTAATCTGCACCGCATCTTTGTCAGTGTCACCAGGAAGGTCTAACAGTCTAATACCCCCTCAAAAAATACAGATAAATCTGAAGGTGGGCAATGCACGAAAACTTACACCAGCAGCTGCCGAGGGCGGCTGCTCTATACGTCAAGCTTATACCGTGACACCAGTGTCGCAGTGTACAGTACGCTTCTTTCGTGTATTCCTTAAAGGTCACATTCCATTGTTTATATCGTGTTCACATCAAAGTGGCCGTCCGGGAAACTGGTCATTGCAACGCGTCTACAATCATATCGATCTAAAAGATCTGTTGTTTGTCGAGCTGCAGAACTTCTGTAAAAACGGTTAGCGCCTGTGTGGAAACAGCTTACGGCAGAAACACTACACTTAAGCATGGGGTATACTCCGTCGGGAGACGACTCCCGATCCAGATAAATCTGAAACCGATACAGAGACTCGCCAACGCAGTTGGCGGCAGCCAGCGACGTATGGCAGATTCAGAAATCGAAACAGACTGCCTGAAGCGCAAACTGCCAAAGCAGTATAAACACATATCCAGTACGCGCACATTTCTCAATTATGATTAAAAATTCAATTAAAAGCAGTTCAAGTTTTGAAAATTAAATTGCGCTGTGCTTTGTTAGTTGGTGTTTATTGTGCGATAGAAAGTGTTAGTTTGTTTTCTTTGTTAGCAACTGAGTTACCACAAAACCAGAATTGATTTTAAAACTATTCCCTTTCTACTGTGATCATTTCGTTTTGTAACATCACTTCAAATATGCGCCAAGCGAAGCTCGCTTTGCTTCTCCACCTGGTTCGCGTGCGTCACAGTCTTCTTCGTACTTCTCGTCTGCGCCAAAAAATTCATTTGCTAATTGCGAGCAAACGAATCCGTCAACGTCGCTGGTATGTCCGTGCACATAATCGTGATCGCGATCGATGGGGTGAATTTTCGAATATTGTGAAACGGATGCGCGAGTTAGACGAAGAGCTGCATTTTCAGTATTTTCGGATGTCCAAGGAAACCTTTGACGAAATTCTTGCATTGATTACTCCATGCATCAGCCACGCTATCACTCATGAGCATCCGGTATCTCCCATGGAGCGGCTTGCCGTAACTTTAAGGTTAGTTAAAATAAAAGAAAAGTTGTGTACCACTCTAGCAGTTCACTGGTCTAAAAATGTCAACTATATATTCAAATAAATTCGTTTTAAATTTACTTGCACTTGTTACCTTAATTTGCTTTGATTTTTAAACTAATCACAGCTGCTTTTTCTGCTCATTATAGCTGTCAAAATATGTGTTTGCAGAATCTTGGCTTCGGGCATGAGTCAAATTGCAGCGGCCCATAGTTTCTGTCTTGGTCGAGCCACGGTAAATCGCATTTACCGCGAAACAACAAGGGCAGTCTGGGATGTTATGGGGCCTATTTACGTCGGTCCACCGAGCGAATCACGCTGGAAATCTAATGCGGAAAGGTTCAACGCATCCTGGCAATTTCCAAACTGCATTGGTGCGGCCGACGGTAAGCACGTGGTTATCAAGGTAAGGGAGCGGTGACTGTTTATAAGTAGAAAGTTTTAAAGATTATCTGCTTACTGCTCACAGTATAATTTTGCTCAATTAATGTATTGCAGAAACCAAAGAATGGCGGCAGTCAGTATATCAACTACAAAGGGACACATTCAATCGTACTTATGGCTGTGGCGGGTCCCGATTATGAATTTTCATACGTGGATATAGGCGGCTATGGTCGGCAAAGTGATGGTGGAACATGGGGCAAGTGCGCTTTGGGAAAAGCGGTGGAAGATGGGACGCTAGTAATGCCCAAGCCCGAGCGCCCATTATTATGCGAGCACCTGTTGCCGCACGTATTTGTCGCAGACGCTGCGTTCCCGATATCGGTCCACCTGATGCGTCCCTACCCCGATAGAAAACTATCAAGAGCCGCACGAATTTTTAATTACAGACTGTCCCGGGCGCGGCGCGTCGTAGAAAACGCGTTTGGCATTCTCGCTTCGAAATGGCGTATTTTTCAAAGGCCAATGGATTTCCAGCCAGCACAAGTCGTTCTAACCGTCAAGGCATGCGTGGTGCTACATAATTTTCTACTCCGCAAAAATATCGCGAACAGCAAGTCGGCCTATGTGATGCCTACTCTTATTGACCGAGAAAACGAAGACGGTCCTGGAATAATCGAAGGGGAATGGCGGCGAATAACTGCGAACGATACGGGGTTGTGTAGAATGGGAAAAAGCAGAGACACCGCCGAGGCTATGCTTATTAGAGACAGGTTTCGTGACTATTTTAACTCCACCGGTAGCGTATCTTGGCAAGAAGCTCGCACATTTGGTGTTTTTCAAGAGCAAGAAAATTTTTCGTCCGACGATAGCAGTTTCTAATCAAGTGTATACGAGTACCAGGAATTTCGTACTTTATTTTGTGGCAATGTAAAATTGTAATACGGCATATTTCGGTTTTGATTGTATAGTGATAATACCGACAATAAGCGCAATGGCGCAGAACAAACCAGTCAAATATTTGCAACATATACATCAATTAATTTCATCAGTCTTTCCAATCCACTGTACAAATGCCTTATTTTACTAAAAAAAATATGCAAAATAATGTGAGTTTACATAGATCGCATTACAGGTTATGGCGATTCAGTCCGTTCCAATACCATTTCTTTCTGTTTCTCAAGATTCTTGTGCCGACGCTCCGTCGTTGCGTTTACTCGCTTTCTGTAAAATGCAGGTGGTAAGTATTTAATAAAAGCAACTAATAACAGGAATATTTTATTGTACACGAGTTTTGTACAAAGTCACTCTGCACGACTTAACAAATGTTTTTACCTATGCGATCAATACTGCTTTCAATGTTTAGTAGCTCTTTCGCGATAACATTCTGAATGCCTTTCTTGATGCGTTCCTTCTGCTCGGCAGTAGTCGAATTCAATGTACTCAAGACGAAGTCACCTGTTAAAAATCCAATAAAGTAAAACCTGCCTTTACATATTATCTTCGGTGGTTGGCAAAAACTTTTATTGCCATTGTGGGCATTCAGCAACTTATTAGGTGCACCAGCATCGCCTTAACCGTAGTTTAGCTAATATACTCGTATATTGTATTAACAGCTTAGCAATATATAACCACATAATACGTACAAAAAACTTCCTCTGTAGTAAGAATCTTTTTCCCGTGCGTGCCTTGTTCTGCGAAGAAACTTTTCAGGACACTCGACGTTTCGGCCGCTAGTTCGTCGTCTCTGCGCTGCGATTCGCTGAGCTGTTTGATGAGCTGATCGTAACCTTCGCGCTTTCTCTTTTTCCCAGGAGTACAATTATCTGCAACAAAAATCATTAATAGTCTAATATAAATATATGCGTAAACTGTATAAACTATATAAAATATGCGTAAACTGCGCGTTTTTATTTTGTTTCGATGAAAATAACTATAATGATCCAATCACCACACATTTAATTTAAATTAAAAATAATAATTATTTAGAATTATTTTTAATTTGTCTCACACGCTGTCTTTGTTGCGGATCCTGAGCTTGAAGTGCTCGGTGTAGTTGGCGATTCGCTGATATCTCCGGGGTCACAAGGGACGGTTGCGTCAGCATTTTCCAGCATTAGTCCACCATTCTCTTCTTCCTCTTCGGTGATCCGTTGATTCCCTTCAATATCCGACACATCTTGAGAAAATGGCTCAGTTCCTGCACTGTCCGATGTTCTAAATTTCAGAATATTGCACATGTAGTTACATTACTTATTACAATTACCTAGTTGTAATAAAGCGGCTCCGGGTGCTTAGTTAATTTAAATATTTTGTTATTCCATTCATTTTACTTGCCAAATTCATTATAACAAAAAGTCACAAACTGATCATTATTGAAAAACTAAACTGGCATAAAGCTCGCTTTATTGGTGATTTTATAATAAATAATTGTGCTCACTCAGCCATCGTGAAAACGTCGCCCAAAAACTGCATCTGGTCCCAAAAGTGCCATTTTTTCGCTTTATCGGCCTCGCTTCCGCTGGGTTTTGTCTTCACGATTTTCCACTTTTTTTGGAAGGTACTGCGCAGGTTGTTGTACTGGTTTTTACAGTCGTCGCCTAAAACAAGCATTTACGAGTAAACAACCATCATGAATTAACAGCAATATTTTAACATAAAATATTTGCCTTAATTGTAATAGGCACAGTATTTCATTAGCATGCCTCCTTTTTTTTAAAACAATATTTATTGCTGCTAGGTTAAACGAAACATCCATCGAAAGCGTCCGAGCAAAAGGTGTGGCAAGTGATTCGCGAGAAACAAACGAAAAACGAAAACTACCATTATGTTCACCACGCGGTGAAAAATGCAATAAAAGTACCTGTTTTCGATTCTCCGATCAACTGAGCGATTGCATTCCATATGTCCACCTTGCTCTTCGTATCAATGTACTCTTTCGACTTTGTATCCCAGAGCGATCGATTCACTTTCACAAAAGCAAGAAGGTTTTCCGATTCGGCATCAGTGAATTTGTTCAAAACGGCGCGTTTGGAGTTGGGCTGCGCAGGCACTCGAGGTATTTTGTACACGCACTAATAAAATCGACTAAAAGAAAACGCACGCAGCGCAAACTACATGCTGATATCGTAGCCAAATCCACAAAACGGAATAAATTGAAAAGAGTATGAGTCCAGAGATCAGGAATAGTCAGAAACGTTTTCACAAAAGAAATTTCGATGTAGAACCACGCGCAATAAAAATTATTATCAAGTGCTACAAAAAGAAATTCAGCGCGGGCTCCAGTACACAATAAAAATTGAACACGTTCATTTCATCAGTATTGATGTCAGTTTCGAACCGGAGCTAGTGCAGTCGCCCTCGGTTGCAGACAAGCTGATGGTTGTTTATACTACAACCGAAGCTGGGAAGAAACGGGAGCTTAAAAGTATAAACAACCTTCAGCTAACTGGTGCCAGTTAGCAAACTGGAAGCGCTCCAGATGGAGTATACCTCATGCTTTACGAAGAAAACGTCCGCTAAAATCTTCCAGTTAAGCTCGTAAATGAACTATTTAACGAATTTTCTTTTAAATTTTTGCTAGCCGATGAACGCCTGTGTCTGGGATGGTGTAATGTCCGCATGGAAACCTTCTGCCGCTGCACCAACTTCGCTCGGCGAAACTCCGTCTGCTGCAGCCTACCCATTCAGATCCGCTGTGGGATACACGGGGACAGTCGCTACGGTATGCGCCAGCGCCGTCTTGGCAGTAGCCGCGTGTCCCTCGCTGTGCATCAACCGGAACTGGGAACATTCGCCCTGGTCGTATCACTTTCGACATTGTCAACAGCTCGCAGCGGTTTTCGGTTACAATGGCTATGATATCCCGTCGTGCATTGGAACGGTCTTGCGTTGTTTGCCGCTGGTGATCGGATTGGGTTGCATTGCCGCGGTGTGACTGGTTGTGTGTGCATTACCGGTCGTTGTTTTTGCGGCGACCCTCGTCGTGACAATGGCTAAATTACTAGGACCGGGCGCGGTTTTCCTTTGCTGCGTCATCATTGTATGTCTGTTGACACTAAACTGCTTCGGGAGATTATTTGGATGGTGGATGGATAGGTCTTATTTAGGACCGGTCTACGAGAAAATTCAGTACGTGTTAGAATTTATATCGTAATGCGAATATATGCCGGAAACCGGAAGCGGCATACACTGGTGTCGGTTCTGTTGTAGAACGGTTTACAGGAAGGTTGCATATAAGCACGAGATGCAATATTGTTGATATCATTAGCAAGTTACTGCACCTTAACATTTGATGAATAGGGGAATTGATGAACTTGTTGCTCCGTACGCTTAGTGATTACTTGGATATAATAACGAATCATACTTTATAAATAGATTATACATACTACGAGTATAATATTATTTTAAAAAATACAGCTGAATACCCAACGCTGTATGAATTATTTACTTATGCAGAGCGAAAATCACATGTCGTTAGGCACACTCCTCTGAAAATTAAAAATATGTGTTGCTAACTGATTTTATTCTGCGCAGAAGAATGTTGCTTGGTGTCCAAGTGTCCAAATACTGTCTTTTGGAAGCTGGTTCCGAACATCAACTGGGGTCGCAAGCGAAACGCTTTTATGCCTTCTGCGGGGAGTGCACGGCCTTTATGCTGGGTTGTATGGTCGCAGTGATCCACTCCTACCCGATGTTTAGGGAATTTCCTGTAGCGTCTATGATGTTCTCCGCGTACCTGCCCGAAAGGGTTTTATGGATGATGGACAGCGGCACGATGCACTGTGTCAGCCATACAACGGTACCGAATACTGTGCAACTGTCCGCCTTTCTCAAGTGTTTGTATTGTATCCCTTATTAGCAGGAAATATCTCAAAACCGTTATTCTAAATTTGACGACCCACCAAAAGACTCCGCGAAGAGTTGGTCCAGTTGCTGTTCTGTCTGATCCTTTGTTTTGCAGGGTTTAACTCACGCCGGTGCGATGGTGTCGTATTGGGCGGAGAAACTGCCGTATTTTAAATACATAACGATCGATGATGCTTTTCACGCTTCGGGGTTCTCACAAATACTGGGTGGTATTCTTATGGTCGGCACCGCAGTGCTTGTCATTGGCAGTTGTTTTTCGGCTGCGCGTTTCGCAACATCGCGCTATGGTTGGGAATTTCTGGTCTATTTGGCGAAGTGTTTCGGCTCCAATGAGACGGCTGAAAACAACACTGAACGGTACATGTACAATTCGCAGTAAAAAGTAGGCTTACTTTCGTTTACGCTTTGTTACGGTTAGATCGGTCACCCAGGAATCATATATATGAAAAATTCTAAAGACTACACTGTTTGTCATAGATGAGCATTTTGGCTAGTAAAAACTTCGCTCCTGAAATTCAAGTGATGAACTATACAGGACACATCGCAGCAGTCCAATGGTAAAGGAAGCTACCAGTGGAATCCCGAATGGCAACAACACATCTATTACGGATGAATTACAATGGGCATCAACCGACAGAGATGTAGCAAACACAGCGGAGTTGCAGTATGACTGTGGAGGAGAATATTCGTGCGCATGTTCCCAACTAGGCAATCTGGTCCTGGACAGCCTATGGCTGATCCGCTGGATAGGCAGCTGAATGTTTCTCCCGATTCCACTGGTCGAACTCCTGTTGCCCGAGCGTGTGCAATTGCCGACCCTGTTGATCGTTCTCTGGGGATACTTTGTGTGGATCATGCGGATGGATGCCAACAAGCAGACGGCTGAGTTAGCTGATGCGCCGGTTATGGGGGATTCTCCAGTGGGAAACGACATCCAGATCAGCAGGAAGGCTGGTGATAAAAAAGCTAAGCATGCAGCATGTTCCAAATGCAAGTTCACCGTGCATTTGTGTGGAGATAATACGGAGAAGAAAGATAAAGAAATTGTCATCATCCCGTATCCATTGGACATGGATAACGACGCAGAGGAAACTGTGAACGGCGCGAAGAAGCCGGCTTTCAAAGACTATCTGCAACAACGCAATCTCGACGCCCAGCTGAATAACCTCGGCTAAATAGTCGATGTACTGTACACAACTTGTTTATCGCTGATCGGTTAGCAGCTTACATTTATCTGCATATTACCTTTCAAGCCACCTGCAGATGACCTATTATTAATTTTTGTGGTGCTGGTTCTAGTGACGGAGTATTCGTTTTCCGTATTTTTAAGCACTTAAACTTCATGCATTGAAGCTGCAGTACAGTTACGGTACAGGTAGTATTTTATTGCGACACAGGTTTATGATGCAGATAATAATCCATGCGTTAACGCCGAAACCGGGGGTTCTCCTATGCAATGTAGTATAACGCGGGGCCGTATGGGCGCCACGCGTATCCTCGACAGCGAACAGCGGTGAACCCGGATGAGGCTTTATTGCCGAATCTAATGCGCACCGTGGCGCAGCAACACCAGACTAACAAGGAAGGATCCTGCAGCCAGTGCAACTGTACTGCAGATCCGTCAAAACAGCGCATCAATGTGCGGGGTGGAAATCCCCAGAAACAGCGAATAGCTACTCAGGAGGGCGGAGCGCCCCGCCCTTACACCCCTTTTGCAGGCATCGCTACGTCCTCGGAGCGAAATCTCCCAGGATTCGGAGGATCCGCACCCCACGCCGGTTCGGCTCGGGTTCCGGGTCAGTTCGGCTCGGTTGGGTCGGCTCGAGTCAGCTCACATCCGGTTCGATTCAGGTTGTGTTCCGGGTCAGGTCGGCTCTGGTTCGGTCCGAGTCAACCGTCTGGGTCAACGCATTGTCGCGCCAAATCCAGGGTCCAACCCGGAAACGGGTAAATTCCGTCGTTTCTTCAGCAGGGCAAAGGTCACGTTCTGGGGAAATTTGGGCAGGGGTTTGGGGTCTATGTGGCCCGTGACCCCTGCAAAAAAAACAAAGCACGCAAATCCGCGGTGAAATCCACTGCTCCGTCCGGGGGGATGTCGCCGTCCCAGGAAGTTCGGGCAGTGTTTTGGTGGGGGAATTTTTCGGCGTGGTGCTGGTGGTCGATCCGTGCCGTTGGGATCGGAGTTGGTGCTGCTGTTGGCGGTGTATCCGTTCTGGTTTCCCGCTGGTCCGGGTCGCGTTCGCCGTCGGCATCGCAAGAGGCAATTCTCGCTCCACGGCATCGCAGGAGGCGTTTCTCGCTCCGCGGCATCTCCGTCCAGTTTGGGAGGCATCCGTCGCGGGGAGGCGTCCATCTCCGTCAGTTGGGAGAGGAATCCATCACGTTCCGCGGGAATGGGGGGCATTTGTAGCTCCACACATGGGGGTTAAATTGGCTCAAATAATCAGAGGAGCCGTGCGCGCGGGCAGCGCGCACGGCCTGGCTCGCAACCATGATCTGCTACCATATAACGCGGGGCCGTATGGGCGCCACGCGTATCCTCGACAGCGAACAGCGGTGAACCCGGATGAGGCTTTATTGCCGAATCTAATGCGCACCGTGGCGCAACAACACCAGACTAACAAGGAAGGATCCTGCAGCCAGTGCAACTGTACTGCAGATCCGTCAAAACAGCGCATCAATGTGCGGGGTGGAAATCCCCAGAAACAGCGAATAGCTACTCAGGAGGGCGGAGCGCCCCGCCCTTACAGTAGCATTTTATTTCGTCAAAATGGTGACTCCAAAACGCAGACGGTTTTTACTTCTGGGAATGTTATTAGTGAAAAATATTTTTCACAGACTGTAGCGATTATATTCAACTCAACTCAATCCATCTCAATCAACTAGGTGTAAATTGAATGAGATTGTGTTGTTGTATGTACATAGTTCTTGTGTTTCTTTCTTTATTTTACTATTACATCAGATCTGACCAATAAAGTTCATATTATATATAACTTATCTATCGTAACAGATTTTTCATAAATATATCGATTTGACTTAGTAATTCGGACCGCATGGTCACCGCGGCTTATGCAAAACAGTATCGCAACTTCTCGTCAAAAAATGTTTCCGCGGAATAAATGCTCTACCGACTCAATTACACACCTCATCAGCCATCGTACAGTCGGTACTTGTACAGTATTCTGCGAAAATATGATTGCTATTTTGGGAATCTTCTGCAGATGCATGCTCATGCTTATGCTGGCGTTGCAAAGTGAAAATGCCGGCCCGTGTTTCTAAACCTTTGTTCGTAGAAGAAAGAAACAATTTGCAAACTGAAAACATCGAATCAGTTGTCAGCACCATTTTCGCAAAGAGAACATACGCCCAAGTGTTTGTATAATCTGCGTTAAAACGTTTTGGCCAACGCTGACCCTCTGGTGTTCTTTGTGACATCAACATCGTGTCTTGACATGGACACGGCTGCACGATCTCAATAACGGGCACATCAACACAGCAGACCTCTTTAATTACATAATAATTTTTTTGCATCAAATAACGTTCATAAGTAGAATAATACAACGGAAAACAATGAAACAATCACCTACAGATACACCCCAATCACAACAAGAAGAATTCCTTTATACTGTCCTGCTCGGGAATCGTGCCCATAACGCATATCGCATTCCTGCGCTGTATCTGTATAGACAAGCGCTGTCGAAAAAACTCTTTAGCGCGTTTCTGGCCAGTGGCATAATTAGGTAGCTTCCAACCTTGTCCACAAGTTTCTTAGTGCCACCGCTCCACGGTCCGTAAATTTCGAACGCTGCCGCAACGAAACCGTATCGTGGCATCAGCCAGCTGTGCTTCGATAAATTTCCCCTTTCGGCTTGACCTCTTTAATAGCACAGCTGGAACACTATTCGACGAGTTTAGATAATATACAGCAGCCATGTAACTGAATGACAGCGAACTAAAGATTATTTTCGGACAACACACTGCCTTCCGTTAACTTTATCAACATCTCACCGGAACTAACTACTAAAAGAAAAATCAAAATACAGAACCATAGTTTCCAGTTTCCTGTATTTTTTAAAGACCTAAGAAACCTGAGATTTTAACATAATTATAAGCAGTATAGGATTTTAACGAAAACCCACTTTTTATCTCATTCCCGCGGGCAGATCAAGCTCAGATTTGAACTTAACGGAAGCGGTATGACAGCAACTCCGTCTAAAAAGTTGGAAAGCGAATGGTCTTCGAGACTGTCTGCAATCCAGCTGACAGGCAGACAGACAGACACACAAACCAGAGTTTTCGACTGGCCTGAAGTACAGAATGCCTGGCTTCGCTCGACAATAACAGGAGCAGGAAGCCCGTTTAACGGGACTTAATGGGATCATGGGCGCCTGACGCGTAGTGACGGAGAGACCAGTATGGTAGGAATAATTTATCTTACCGACCAGACTAAACAGTAAGCCGTAGGGTCTGGGCTAGTAGTGGTCTCAATGTTACGTACTAAATCCGTAAATCAACGCAAACCGAGCGGCATCTTCGACAGTTTAATTCTCAGCCCCGACGCTGCCAAGATCAGATCAAGGGAGAATTTATCGTTTCTTCAATACTATCCCCGTGTGACTGTTCTACGCAATAGGCGCATCCGATTAGAAAATCAAAACACATCACAAAAGGTATTAGAAGATATTACTTATATTCCGTCAGTACTTTTGGTTGCCGTTCATTCGTAAGGTGGAACTGTCGCGCCTGGGATGGTAGTGGCGGTTAGGGCAGGAGCCAGAAGGTGCGCATGTCGCCTTTGCCCTGTATATTGTTAGAACGTTGCCGATCAGTGAATCCGTCAGATTATATCGATCAGTGCGCTAGGAGGTTGTAATGACTGACTAACCTTAACTGACAGCAGTCCCCGCTCCTGCAGCGTGAAGCGGTGGCCGTGGTTGCTGTCAGCGATAAGGTTGTGGCTAGCTTGGCTGAGGTGGATACGACCGCCTTGGCCGTGGCTGTTCATGCGGGCCGCAACGTTCACCGTATCCCCAAACCTGCATTGATCACGGTAAAATATTGCCGCTCAATCATTAATATTATGATCATAGAAGCGCTTATCTAAAGCTAATAATAACAAATAACTGCAATTTGTGGAAGAATCTAATGCCGGTTATGGTTTCACACCACATTTGGTAACAAACGCTGCCGTGAATACGTGCATCCAATGACCGGCGATGACCGACGCGCAGAATCCACGAATAACATGGGGCTTGAGTATATACGGCCACGTACCGTCCATGTGTACTGTACGGTTGCGAACACCACCATGCATATGTGCAGTTGGTGGCAGTTGCCGATGCTCTGACATCGCATTTTTCATGAGCAATGAGTATAGAAGACCTTCGCTACGGTCCTGTCTGGGTTCTGACAAAGCAGCGAGCCGGCGTTAGCTGACCTATGTAAGTACTTACAAGCAGTAGCGAGGTACACGTATACCAATCACCCCGGCTGCACAGGCACCTGCAAGAAGTGCATACTGTAGATGACATTCCGCTGGATGGTACGCTCGATGGAAGATTTCCACGGACTGCACAACCAGGGGCAGTTCGAATGCCAAGCGTGGCTGTTACCGCGTACCTGAGTGGATGCCGCACCGCAATCGCAACGCGACTACATCCGAAGAGCCTTCCACTTGTATCGTTGCGCGGCTGTTATTAATGGGTCTGCTATCGTCAAACACTTTCATCAGTTTAATTGCCATCCGACAAATCTCCACGGCGTGCTGATTGTCACCCCGATGCGGAATGCCGGTCGCCGTCTGCAAGAGTCGCTGCTTCTTAGTCTGCCTATCAATATCTAAGCTAGTTCTGCGCTGAACTTGGAGATGAGCACTAACCATGTAGCTGTCGCGCACCGTCTCCACCTTGTACACATTCATCGCCACGATGGCGCCGTCAAAGGCGCTGAATACTGACGTTACAGTGTCGATAACCAGCTCTGGGGGAACGCAGCTGACCCAGTTGACGAAATCGTCGAGGTCGAAAAAGCAAATGCTGACGCTGGAGAAATACTCCGCCACCATCGCTTCTCCGTTTCGCAGCTGATCTACCACAGACCTGCAAACAAACATGTATGTAGGCTCCATCTCAAAGACTGTACCGGATTGTGATCAACCTTGGAAGCAGTTCCCTGAGAAGATCGTCGCATTTCTTCCGCTCGCTCTGCAGTTCCTCGGTCTTCAACCGCACCGCATCGTTCAAGGTCAGCGTGTACGTTTCGAAGCGGCGAATGATGCTATCGACGATATTGCGGGATACCGGCTGACCAGACACATGCAACCGCCCGATGGCGGTCTTCAGCTGCTTGGCGGTAGGGCGCAGGATGGTGTTGGAGTGATGACATCGGCTGGCTAAAACCGCTAATCTCCGTTTGATATCACAATCCATCGCGTCGCAGACGTCTTCATCCTCTGCTAGCGTTTCCGCCAGTGTGGACGGTATCTTGTTGGTGGACTGGTGTATGATCAACAAGAAGATCTGGCCAACAGCGGGAACATCAGCCGATAATGTCAAGGTATCGGTGCAATCAATGGCGTTCACGTCTTTGGTCGATAAGAGAGCATGACGAATGGTGGCGAAGCCGAACTGGCCGATGCGCAGTGTAAAGCGATCGTCGATGAGGCAGCAGTCCGCGCTGAGACCACCATGCGGTCGCCCGATTGTGCCGTGCAGGTAACTCAGACCCTGACATTTGCCACGCAATGAACTATGATTGGGCTAAGGAAAGAGCACGTGCAGTGCGGCGTACCTGTGCCAGATCGCGTGCCATCGCCAGCTGGAAGTCCTCATCTAGTTTTGTCAGTTCCAGCAACGTCAACAGAGAGCCGCGCTTGCAGTATCCCGCGAGAAGGAAGACTCTATGCGGCAGGATAGCAATTCCCAGGAGAGCATTGACGTTAGGATGCTGGTTATGTAAGCAAGCACGCTTTCAACCGTCAACGGGGATAAAGACGACACATAAAGATACCGATAGAGAACAAATGGCGGTAATGATTAATCCAGCGAACTAACCGTTGCATCAGGCACGATCTGCGCCAGCAAGTGCGGATTTGGCCGGCCTTGGATATCCACCGTCGTCAGCCAAACTGTGCGTCTTCTCCATAACACCGGATTGGTTACTTCAGCACCGCCCAGAAACAGTCGGGCGTCCAGCTCGTTTGCGCTAATCAGCCACCAGTAGCCGTTACGCCGCGCTCGTTTTCTGTAGTAAAAAGTGCCGGTGACTCCAACATGCATGTTTGCTTAGACGAATGGTTCTTACCCATATCTACCTCTCAATCAGATTCACAGACAAGAGAAAAACTCACCGTACACCAATGAGAGCCGCACAGGATGCGGTCAAAAGCATCATCGCCATGCCTACAGCGACGGGAAGAGTAATAGTCCAAACCGATCCAGCCGAGACTGCAACCAGTGCCGCTTCGTTAAGGTGGACGCTGAAAAACGGCACATCACTGGAAACAAGACACCAACCACAAGGCCCTTCATCTCCACTAAAGCCGCAAAGTGGAACGTCTAAGGGTAGACTGCCGGTCGGCCAGACCAGCACCGACGTATTTCTCAGCTCGAAGGCGCCGCTGACGGAACGGTACACAGCAAATATCTGCAGACAAAACAATGCCCATGCTAAACGTATGGTGCACAAACAAAGGGTAGGCCATGACGGCAGTTACGCTCATATTTCTTGTCTGCGGATTGAACATCCATATGTCCACGTCCATGCTGGACATCCCACTGCCGTCGACCCGGACATCGGCATCTGGCAGCTTGAAGGTATGGTTGTTGAAGAGCGAAGCCAGGTGGTCGCCAGAGCAGAAGACTGCGCGCTGCGCCGGTGTCAGATTGCGGTATTCATCCAGATGGTCGGCCAGGACGCCGCTGATCAGCTCAAAAGACCTGTAGACGCTGCGCGTTGCGTAATTGCTCAGTGGCTACAAACGTCATGTAATTTAGTTTTCACCCCGATTATTTATTTAAGATTCTGTGGTGTACTACTTCAAAGTGTACTTATACGTACGGTGCGATACTAACAACTGTTTCTAGTGATTTTAGCAACTTCCTGTTTCCTCGATTCTCCTAGCTACGAGTGGCTTTGATAGATTCTCCTAGCCTTTGCTATCCAGCTGCTATCGGCTGCGATACAAGTTAGATTACTGTAATAAAGACTGTACGATTGTAGTACAACGATACAGATATCACAGATTCTTTTCGCGCATCCTGTGGCCGGTAAAAGAATGATATATACCGTATGTGATCGACAGTAAGTGGGCTGCTGCGCTGCATATTGCATTTTTAATTTACCGGCTGTCGATATTACGTTCTGGTGGAAGTTCAACAAAGCAAAATGCAGTCGCTGAATGTACGATAAATGCATGGATGCAGCGTAAATAAAAACAGCACTAGCAGCGGTAATCGCCATGCAAGAATGGCATCTCACCTGGACTCCTGGCTCGTATGTTATGTTATACAGATCATGGGCCAACTGACGAAGTTCACCGTTCAGGTGACGCTCGTAGTCGGTGTTGTCAGATTCATGGAGAATCACGTATATCAGGTTCCAAGTGAGGTTTAACATCTACGGCAAAACACTCTCAAATATCAAGCGTTCTATTCTTTGAGAATCTTAATCGGTTTTCGCTATAATTTATTAAAGTTATAAAATAACCATCTCTCTCTGTAACCATCTGTATCTTAAAACTATGTAAAATTATATTCTTGTAATCAACAAATATAATCTTAGCGGAACGAATGGTGTAGATAATGCAATCGACAGAGAAGTACAGGAAAAAATCCTGTTAGATGCTGACCAACGGTGTCGGATTGTTGAACAGAGAGACCTTTCCGTAGTAGCTATTCTGGACAGTCTGCACGTTGAAGAACACCTTAATGACAGAAAAGAACGGCATGATCATTCCATCCAGCCGCACAGGCGGTGCAGCAACGATGAAACAAGCAATGACAGCAGGAAACATACGTATTCTCCGTTGGTCATTCCGAGCTGACTGGCAAGATCCTGCGGAAGTATTCAGCGTGCTTTAAACATCCATTCTAATTTACCTATAGAAGATGCTGCACAGCAAATGTGTGCTAATACTGCCAGATATTATACAACAAAGTCACAGGCTGATGAGTTTCAGTCAACCCGGCTGGACTGTAATTACTCAGAAAAAAACACTACAGCACTGTCCAATAACAACAGCGATAAAACGACATACCATTATCAAGTAGGCTACGGATGCCGATGCTCCTAGGATGAAGACTGCAAGCGGAGAACAGAAGTTCTTACTTTAATTTGCACAAAGATGCTTTTGCACATACTTCCGCCATTAGCACCGTACCATGTGCATGGAACGGTGCTAATGGCTAGTTGCCCAAAACTGTGCTAGTTGCCCAAAAGAAACTGCTAGTTGCCCAAAACTTCTGGTCAGTAAAAGAAAGAACGTTCGGTACGTCTATGAGTTCGGCTAGCGGCTATGAATTTTTTTTAATGTTGTATAGATAGTTTAGTTCACATATGAATTGTTTGCTGACCCCGGCTGTTCGCTTTTGCGCGCAACAAGATATGTGCAATAGACGCGTTGTCGTTGCCCTGAAAAGGATAGGTGGCGATGGTGCTACTACTGGTGCGGCTATCCTGGAGCGCCAAAACCTTGGCGGCGTCGCAAATGGCGGAGTAGAGGTTGGTGGTGGCGCGTGTATCCAAGAAGAAGGTCACGTGCGACCAGCCAAAAAAGTTCAAGACGTTCCACAAAGTTCGCGTCAGCCCCTCTGCGCTTCCCGCCAGGCTAAGCATGTGCGGGGGCGGCAACAAGAGGGGAAGGGAGAGTTGCGGTCCCATGCCACTAAGAAGAATAACAACTTCGGAAACTAGGCCGCTAGACGAATTGCCGGCTCGAATTCTGCTTACTTAATGAGAAACAAGGCATTCCATTCTGCAAAACAAAAAATTGAGCAGACGGCCCGGTAAACGTAGTAACTGACCCTGTATTAACGTAGTAAACTGTTCTTACCTTTGGACAAATACAGCTGCTGCACGTAGTCCACACACGCTGCAGAGAAAACGTGTCTGTCAGCTAGATATGGCCCACTTCGTACACTATTCAGTCAGCTATTTAAGCTCCTTCCACAATGATTACACATAACACTTTGGCAAACATCGACTGCCTACTGTTGGTGAAGTAGATGTTGCAGATGTGCGGTGTGTATTGGTCCAGATTGTTCCGATAATAGAAACCGGTAAGAAGTGGGATTCCGTTAGCGTTCACCATCGAGCAGGTTTGGCTGTACATGTCTTTTACGGGTCGTAGCACGAAGCGCAGTCCCCGTAGAGCGTATTTCTCGTTGGCACGTTGCACGGCTAAGTGCATAGCCGCGCCCATCCACATCAGTCCGAACGACAAGCTAGGTTCCAGCATCTGCACACTGACAACTCGCACCTCCAGCTCCACGGCGGTGGGAGCATCGCGCTGGCTAAACCCGTTTATTGGCGGCCAGCTGCGTAACAGAAGGCACACCACAATCCAGCGAGTGCTATGTGAGCACATTTCTCCTTACTCGAAACTGCCACAACAAAAACAGAGAACGAGAACGTTTAACGGAGAAATCTTCACGCGAATCTGTATAGCATCCAGCCGCAGGTGGTATGTGGTACGCGTCTTTTATGACGCGCTTGGTTGGTTGCCGATTCCAGAGGTTAGGCTAACCTGTTTAGCGTAGCGTTTCTCAAAAAGCGTAAATGCATTTAATGCGTAAATGCCGCGTAAGTGTAATGGCATAAATGTAAGACATACATCTTGGACTTCTGGAAAGCCTCCTGCTGTCTGTATACTACTTAATAAACGACGATCTTGGTGAGATACTGCAGCAACAACGACGCTCCTACTACATCGCTTATTTATTCCCGGAGCGTTTTTTCACTGTGGCACGTGTGGCCCACTGTGAAAAGACCGCAAGACAGCGCAAGGGTTGTTTGTGGCTTTTCTCGTGTGCGAAAGGCTCATGCCGAGTGCGCGGCATTCCTGTCGGTTATGCGAGTAATTACTTGAAGTACAATAAATACCCATACGAAGAGGAGCTACCTTGGCCCGATCAAAGGCGCGAACACGACCATAATCCGATCACTGTGCACGCATGTGTGTACAACGCCCAACCGCCCAGGTTGGCAGTAAATGAACCACTGTGCCGGCATACGCAAAACGGCAAACCACCCACATCGGCAAGAACTTTGACACAATCGCTATGGCCGCCATATTTAAAAAACGAAAAATCCATTTTGTTATTAAGCCATTTATTATTATATTATTATTAAACGAAAAACCCATTTATTAAAAGAAGAAATTTTAGAGAGCTAAATTTATTAATAACTTTGCTGCCGTGGCAGGGTGAACAGCCATGTTTCACGCGCGGGCGGGCAAGTGGTTAACGTCGCTGCCAACCTGGGTGGTTTGGCGTTGTGCACACACGCGGGCACAGTGATCGGATTATGGTCATGTTTGCGCCTTTGATCGGGCCAAGGTAGCTCCTCCTCGTATGATCAGTAATCAAACCCGCGGCAGCATGAGATATCCTATCCTTAGGTTTCTTAGGTTTTCTTAGGTTTCTTAGGTTTCTTAGGTTTCTGCCAGAAAACTGCCAGTGGCAGTTTTCTGGGCGGTCAATTAAATGTTTTTTTGAATGTTAACTGACTACTAATAATATTATTACTACTTGATCACCCCTCCATCGCACCTGCTCCCTTTTTGTATCCTGTGGTTTTGTAAAGTATGTTGTTTTCTCTTTTTTGTGGTTTTGTTTGTATTGTAACACTTTGTAACACTACTCTGTATGTTATACCGTATATCAAACACATAAAAACTATGTATATGTAAACGCGCTGGATGTGAGTCTGTGCGTTGGTCAGCCAGCTGCGCAACAGAAGGCACACAACAATCCAGCGAGCGCTGTGTGGCCACATTAATTCTCTGTACTCCAGTTTGACAGAACGAAAAACAGACGACGGCTGTTCTTTGCCGAAATGCCTACTGACATCCATGTCTTATTCCCCCTCACAGTTATGCGGGGTGTGATTCATGCCGCGCTTGGTAGATTGCCGGTTGCAAATGCTGGGTCGATTTGTTTATCGATAAGCGTTCTAAACGAAGTGTATATCTGCATAAAACGGACTTTTGAAAGCCTGCTGCTGTCTGTATGCGACTTGATAAACGAACATCCTGCCGAGCTACTACAGAGTACATCAGCACCGGAACCACTAGCACCTCGGCAATTTAATATCCTCGCGGGGCGATTCTTCACTGTGCGCTACTGCTAAAAGACAGCGAGATAACGCGTGGGCTATTTGTGGCCCTTCCTGTGTGTGATTGATTCATGGCGGGCGCCCTGTGTTCCTTTCATTTGGAATTAATGCAGTCCGCGGCGATCAGAATTATCCTACCGGCCTGCCCTACTTATCCTACCGGATGCGCTTTATTTATTCTACCGGGTGCGCTTTAAACCACGTTTTCCACCATCTTAACCATAGCGCACCGGGTGGTACAGCATGCAACTTACCTACGAAATACCCCGCAGCTGCGACATTTATTTACTGTGATAATTATGTAATAACAATACTTACAGTATTAATTTTGTAATAACACCACTTACAGTATCTAGATACTATGCTAGATATTTATTACCACAAAAAAATAAAATGGACTGCACGAACCTAGCTTTGTCGTATTGAATCAGCAAAAACCATTACCATAATCTGAAAGCCCATATTCCAAAACGCGGCCACACGGTGTCAGTTTTTCTAAAACTCCTTCAAAAAGATGAAACGAATCAATCAGGCAAAAATCAACCCCTTAAGTCTCTCCATACTTTACTAAAGTACATCAGTACTTAACAAAAATATACGATTAACTGCTGCTATGTTCGTAACTGAAGATTTAAATTAGACTGACCTTTTAAAAACATTTATATGCAATACCGGGCCGAACACAACCACCATTTAACTAAATTACCGAACCAAACCATTACTGTCCAGTGTACATGAATGTGTGACCGAACTAGTAACTACCCTTACTGTCCAGTGCATAGTGTCAGTCTCTATTGTCCTGCATTAAACTGGAAAACCGAGTCCATTCCGATCCAATCCATAATTTAGATCGGATTGGATTGTTTGTTGAAAATTTCAATTTAATGCTAATCCATTGCTAATTTCAAGTTGAAATTAGTAATGGATTACGTAGCATCAAAAAATATTATTAGTAATGGATTTGGAACCATTAAAAATTTTTTGGATCGGACCGCATCCGATTTTTTAGTCCATTATATGAAACTAGTGTCAGCTATGTAAACGAGTGACCGAACTACCCATACTGTATGGTACATATGCGCTGGCTGGCTGGCGGATTAATTTAGATCCGACCAGCCAGTGCTTATTAATCTTACTTTAAGCTTTCACTTTTGATATTTCTTGCTTTATTTTGGCACTAGAATACGTAAAATTTTTTGCTTGTTCTTCTGATATATGACATTAAACGCTGTGTTGAGCCTTTAACATGCCGTTGGCAAAAAACTCTCCTATGGAGTTTCACCATCTCAACATCCAGGGGCTGCCCTATGATAATTATCATAAGCTTGATTTACTGTCAAATTATCTTTGCATTGATGACAATGTTTCGAAGTTTTTCGCTGTCACTGAAACTCATCTCCGTCCTTCGGATTCTGATCAGTTGTTTTCCATTCCCGGATACTGTTTATTTCGTAGCGATCGACCTGATATTCATGGTAAAACACGCGGTGGTGGGATTCTATGCTACGTACCTCAACATATAACGGCTGAGCGTGTCGAGCTGAAGTTTCGTTCTAAGGGATTTGAATGTCTGTGGTTACAACTCACTGTTTCTCATCGCAAAATTATTATTGGGACCGTGTATCGTCAGCCTGATTCGAATTCTGTCGAAACCAAAGCGTTGTTCAATCATTTGCGGGAAGTACTGTTAAAATATCCGGGCAGCGATCATATGATCATGGGGATCTGAACATCGATTCCTCCCTGGTTCCTCAAGCCCCTATGTCAAATTGTACAGTGACTTTGTAGATGAATTTTCCTTCGAAGATAAGGTAATCGGACACACTCGGGTAGCACATCGCCTGAGACAATCTGATAAAACCTTAATCACTACATCCACTAAGATTGACGTAATATTGTGCAGTCCTAAGAATTCATACGTGTCGTGCCAACCGTCAGATGTAAGTTGTTCAGATCATATGCTGTGCAAAACGGTCTCCGCTTTTCAGTGCGCACAACCGGAGCACAGAGTGATTTATTTTCGTGATTGGAAAGCGACTAATTTTCAGTCTTTCAAAAGTCAAGTTTTTGATTTTACAAAGAATTACGTTAATTACGTTGATTATCCGGACGTCGATGATGAAGTTTCAAAATTTGTTGGTGGTTTAGCTGAAATAATTAACAGATGCTATCCGTTACGATCGAAAAGAGCCTCGAATAGCAGTGCACCTTGGATTAACGGTCGCATTAAACGTCTGATAAAAAATAAAAATCTCGCATACAAGCGGAAGAAGTTGTCGAAAAGTGCCTCTGAGTATCAAGGCAATTGTCAACAATTTAAGAACTTGAAGCGAGAATTATTTACGGAGATTAAGAACGCTAAGCGAATCTATTTCGAACAAAATGTACAAAATTCAAAAATAATGTGGCGCGAAATTAACCGTTTGCGAGGAAAGAACAACGAAAATGGTAATCTGGACTTCGATTTAAATAATTTAAACAAACATTTCGCTACAATGGGGGAGCACGGTAAACGGCACCCCGTGGCTGTCATCCCGAAGGAGGCTGATACGGCGACATTTGAATTTGATCATGTTACTCCAGACGTGGTTGCTGAAATGTTTGGGAAAATCTTAAGTAAGAGAAAATGTGCGGGACCGAATGGTATACCACATAAACTCTTGCTGGAAATTTCCCCTATACTGGTTGAGCCCATAACCCATCTGATAAACCAGTGTTTCAAAAAAATGTCTTTCCGTCAATTTTCAAAATGGCGGAAGTAATCGCTTTACCAAAAACTGTTCATCCAACAACACCGGATGAATTTCGTCCTATTTCACTTTTGTGTAATTTGTCAAAATTGTTTGAGAAATGCGCCCAACTGCAGCTGAACAAATTTTTGAAAAAAGAAGGCATTCTTGCGCCTAACCAATCCGGTTTCCGTAACGGCCATTCATGTGAAACGTTATTGTTAAAAGTGACGGAGACATGGAAAAAGGCTGTCGATAGCAAAAAGTGTGTTGCAGTTGTTTTTCTTGATTTGAAAAGAGCTTTTCCGTCAGTGTGCCATTTGACTCTGTTGGAGACACTCCGTGATATAGGAGTAAAGTCTTCAGCGTTAAAATGGTTTTATTCGTATCTGACCGGCCGCTCGCAACGTGTACGTCATGGCATGAAGTTCTCTTCGTGGGAACATGTTTGGGCAGGCGTTCCGCAAGGGTCTATACTTGGTCCCATTTTATTTACAATATACATTAATGCCCTACTGAAACT